GCCTTCTTGATCTTGCTCTCACTAGCAAGTCCATTCATTCATTAGCACAAGAGCCTACTTCAGGATTCTAGCATATACTGAAAACCTGCTGAGACATACAGCCTCATGGACTGAACAATTACTGGATTGTTATCCAGCCATTGTTGCATTTGCTGGACCACAGCCTGCAAGACAGCCTAACAAATCCCATATATATGACTATCATACATGTGTATGGGTGATAGACAGACAGATAGATAGATAACTAGATAGTTAAATTCATTATATAAATTCTTTTTCTCAAGAGAACCCTGACTAAAGCCGGGCGGTGGTGGCGCACGCCTTTAATCCCAGCACTCGTGAGGCAGAGGCAGGCGTTTCTCTGTGAGTTCGAGGCCGGGCTGGACCGATAGCCTCCGAAACAATACAGAGAAACCCTGTCTCGTAAAAACCAAAAAAAAAAAAAAAAAAAAAAAAGAGAGAACCCTGACTAAACAGAGCAGTTCTGTTTGTTTGGGTAGTCACAAAAGTGATGCATTATAAGGAAAAGCCTTCATGAAGGAATAGGGTGATCCTAGGTCCACACCAAAAGTCTGAGTCTACTATTCTATTAATTTAAAATAAACCTACTCACTTTAAGTTTCCTCTAAGTATTGAGCAGAATGCCACTTAGTATTTTATTCATCAATTCCTTGTAACATGAATAATAAAAACCCAGAGATGTATATTAGGGTTCAAGCTGAGGATCAGGAAAGCAATGAGGCCAAGCAACCAGAGAGCTCTTTACCTCTACCAAGGCTGGGGAAATCCTGTCCTCAACATAGCTGGAGACTAATTGCCCTCTCTGAGATCCTGCTTCTGTGTTATATACCTCTTTCATGCTGGGATTAAAGGTGTGTGCCACCACTGCTCAGCTTATATGGCTAACTAATATGTTTGTTGAGACTAAACCACTCCCTGGTCTCGATGGCTGTGTTACCTAAGCATTCTGATCTCCAACAAGCTTTATTAGATCATAAAAATGGATCACAATAATTCCTTCTGCATAAAAATTGTTGTTTTATTATTATTATTTTGGTATCATATTTTTTCTTTTTAGCATGTTATTTATATATGTGTTCTATCTATCTATCTATCTATCTATCTATCTATCTATCTATCTATCTATCTATCTATCAATCCATCTATCATCCATCCCCAAAGGTGAATTGTGCTGATTTTACATTATTTTAAGTTTAACTACTTTCTCTGAATATATGATTTCTAGGTGTTACATGAATATTTCCCTTACACTCTGAATCTTCAAAACTCTTCTCATGAAATGGGAAGAGTATAGAATGATAGTACTGCTTTAATGTTATTTGAAAATCTGTACATAGTGCTTCCACTTGTATCTTTATTTTATTTCTTCTGTATATTGTGATTATTGGAATAATTTATATGTTATATCCTTTGAGTGTAAAATCTAGTTTTAATGTTTGGAGTACAGAGTCTGACTTTTACCTTGATTCTGGTTGTTTTTTTTCTGTATGTCAATGCAGCATTCTGGCATATTGGAAGACCTTCCATGTTCTGATCTATCTGTTATATGTATGAGGATTTTGTTTCCTGTCCTTTGTTTAAGTGCCTGCTATATCTTAAATTGAAAAAAATGATAGCTTTGTTATTACCCAAAACTTCAATGTCAATGTAGTTAATTTTATTTTAATTTTAAGATAACTATAGGGAGCATCCTTTAGCCCATTATATTTTCCAGATAGTGATGTTTTTGTTGAAGCTAGATTAAGATGGAACCATTTTTGAGATGGCATGCTATCTATCAAGTGATAAAGGTCCTCTTTTCAATGTCTGCTTTGCATTTTATTATAAAACACTTTACTCAAACACTATCTTTAAGTAATCATCTTTAAAAAGGTTTGTAACCCTTTGTTGCCACATTCTGTCAGTGCCACACCTCTTTCTTCTTTTGCTGTATGTTATTATGTTTGGGTATTTCTCTCTTTTTAATTTTTTATTTAAATTAAAAACCATCTTATTTTACATACCTCTCCCAGTTTCCTCTCCCTCCCATCCTCCCATTCCCCTCCAGGAGTCCCCCCATCCCACCCTGCATCCACTCCCCAGGGAGGGTGAGTTCTCACAAAGAGATCTACAGCAAAACACTGAGCTCAACTCCTGGAATGCCATGCCTTTTTTTCATCTACCTGTGAACTATTAACACTAGTTTGTTCCTTGTCAGGGTCAGCTGATTTCCTACTTTTAGGGGACCAGCAGCCCAAGAGAAGCCAAGAATTTTTGTTATATTTTGTTCAAGTCAGCCTGGTTGTAGGATAATCAAGTGATCGGTAATCTTCAGAAAGTGTCACGTCTGCTGCGCGGCCTGTGTCCGAGAACGTGCGGAGGGTGTCAGGGATTGAAAACACAGAGACTCGTTCAATGATATAAAGAGAACTTTAAACAGGCTCCAAAGAGGTTCAAGAAAAACTTCCTAAGAAAGGCTCCCACAAGAGAAGCTTCTGCTCTCTCCTCTACCCTGGCTGGTTCTGCTCTGACACCAGAGGTGGATGTGTGTGGGTTTTTGAAGGTGCGGTTAGTCTCTGGACAAGGTCGAGGTCAGGGCGGTTTCTGTGGGAAGGCCTTTCCCAGGAACTTATTGTATCATTTTTAGTAAACATGTTTTTACTAAACATTGTCTTACAGCTGCCTACTCCCAGGCAGAAGGGGAAGTGGGTCTCTGCTCAAGGCCTGGTGTTCCCACAAGAAAGAACATGCTTGAATCATGAGGAAGCCCTTTAGATCTTGTTCAGGGAGACCCTTATGATGATTATTGTTTAATATGGCATCGTTTTCTTGAAATATTCTCCCATCTCTAGGCATCTAGAAACATTTAGTAAAGAAAGAAAACCTTTTATGGTTATTAGGTGGAGAAATTTATAGTCTGAGACTAATGGACTTTGGTTCATTTCCAAAAGATCATGGCATTAGATGGTATTCATATTTAATTGATGACAGTACCTACTTTACTACATCATATTATGTTATAGCTTAAACCATCAATTTTTCTGAGTACACCCTCAATCTGTGTTGTGTTTGTGCAAATGATGGAAGAACATGTTAGTGTAGAAGGCTCCTTAACATCCACCGACTTATTTGCAGATTATATGAAACAAGTAAGCAACACACACACACACACACACACACACACACACACACACACGCACACACACTGGTTCACTTTGTGTAAGAACACCACAGGACTTTAAAATCCTCCCTGCTACCTACACAAGCATGCCTCGACTTCTTTCCTCCTTGCCCTTGTTTTTCATGGCCTCACATTCCCTTTTCTCCTCCTCATTTACAGTATCTTATTTTATTTTTAGCCATACAGTAACAGCTACACAAATTTTCCATAGGCATGCTGGGTATGTTGTTATCTCTGTCTAGAGTGTCCTTTCTGTGCATTTTTACAATCCAGATTCTTCTTTCTATATCTAACATTTCTTCCATATCTTTACCTTTCCTATATCTAGCAGTGGGGTACTCCATGAAGCCCTAACATTCCTTTCTCTATCACTCTCTGGGCTGGGCTATGCTATGCTACATCTGGACTTTACAATACTCCTTGTGTTTTCTATGAGTGTATTTGCATGTTTCAGATAAAATATTGGTGCCTGTCCTTTTCACTAGATAGCACATACCTCAATGGAAAGATGCTCTTTAGTTATTTTCTGACTTTCAATCATGGCCATTATTAAAAGAGAGCAATGCACTTGTCTATGTTTTGTAAATACAATGAATTAATGCTTTCTTAAATGAAAGTGATCCTTTCAAATGACTAAGATACTCTGAGAAAAAGATTATCAGTATCCCAAGAGATAACTGCTGATTCAGGATCTCTAATTTCTCTCTTGATGCATGGTGTACCAGTAGAACTTGTAGATATTTGGTGACAGTACTGCACAGGAAGTTCTCTGTGTTCTTGACAAGAAATGATAAGAAGAACAGTTTGTATGCACTATTTGAGTTTTAAAATTTAGACTGTGTTATAAGGTTTTCTTGGACAAACAAGTAACATTTGAAGGTCAATTACCTTTGGTACTATGTGCAAATGTCCCAAGATACATACTTCCTCTGCCTGGGCTGAAGCCCATATATGAGTATGCAAGTTGTCAGCCTGTGAGGCCTAGTTTTCCCACCTGCTTCATGGGTGAAGGATCTTGTAGGACAAATGTGATGGCTGAATGAGAATGATGTTATTATGAGTCCAAACACACACCCCCACCCCACCACCCCCTCACACACACCTACCCACAAAAGCACACACACTCACAGAAGGGGGCACAGAAATAAGTAAATAGTGATTATTATTGTGATGGTAGAGATCATCCTTCCCAAGAGAAAATAACTTTCAGAAAGCATACATCATTTTTTCATAGATTTTTCCATTTTTAATTTCATACATCGTATTATTTTAAAATTAGTTCACTTTAGCTATTTGTTTATGCGAAAGGTTTCACTTTATTTCCAAATCCTTTTTCTCACCCTTTCTAGTCTTGTATTTTTAGAAATAGTTCAGAAAAAAATTCTTCTATCCTTGACATGCTATTTTTATGTTATTTGAAATCATGTTTTAATTCATTTTGTTATTTTCTATTGGCAGTTATTGATTATGTAGAAAACCTACAAACTTTATAAAAATTCTACAGGCTCACAAGTGTTGATTCTAACATACCTCCTAGTGTTGTAGCATCGAGTACAATAAAAAGATCCTGGGGCATGGCATGATTACTCTCTTAATATGGTTTTCTTCAGTAGTAGAGTCTCAGTTGTCCAGAACCTTGCTGTGCTGAGATAAACACAAGTCAGCTCTCTGGAGTCCTCACACTCCAGTGACCCCCTCACCCCCCATCATCCATGCTCCTCTTGATGTTCGTTGATATTCTTGGACTCCAGTGTGACAATGGATTCTGCCAGCCTAATGTACCTGATCTGCCCCCTTGTCCTTCTCCCACTTTTTACAGAAGAAAGCAGGCATTCCTACACTACTGAGACTCTTCAGGCAGAAGATAAATGGAGGGTTTTAGTGCTGACTGGAGATATGGGGACTCAAGCCAATGTCACACTCTGGGTGTATGGAGATGAAGGAGTCACTGGACCAATCAGTCTTACCAAGGAGAGCCCAGAGCACCTATTCCTTCCAGGACAGCAGGATGAGTTTCAGGTAAACAAAATCAGCAGTCATTATATTTCATTACAAAGTCATGAAATATAGGGCAGGGAGAAAGAATATAAAATAAATTTAGTCCGTTATGAACACCATTAGTTAATTTATTTCTTACCCTAATAATAATAAAAAGTATTTGCTCATGTCTCCTATGCAAGGAAGTGAGAAAGGTTACAGAAAAAATTTCTTCTTTTAAGGAAAATTTATCCAAAGCCATTGTCCTAAAAAAAATTCATCAAATCCAGTTCAAGTCGTACCCTGATTAAGAGATACGGGAGTCTCTTGGAGTGATGGAAGTTCTTCTTTTTACAATTGGTGTGCTTTCAGACATTGCTCAGCTGAACTGCAAGTGTGTGAAATAATTTCCTAGACATTTTCACAGTCCATGTTCTGAGGCTCTGCCCATGCCCATTTTAATCTCTCTCCCACTTATTTCTTGCTGTGAGAGATCTGAGTTGCTGTGCTACAGCTGGCTGCTTCCTGTAATAGGAGCACCAGCCAAATTTCAATTAGGACAGCTATGTTGCATTTTACTAATTCTCACCCCTGCAAAGTGGTAGCTGTACAGTTGTTCAGTGCATTAATTGAATAGCAGTTACTCATCCTAGTGTCCTATGCACACTTGGGAAGAGAAAATTACAGAGGCTAACCTGAGTCACCAGACTACCAAGGCTGTTTGGAGGACCAGCACCTGGCCTCACTGATACCCAGATGGTTTTTGCATCTTCAACTGTGGGCTCATAGCTCTACCTTTACACTCATTAATGGGGCCTTAGTGATGGAGCATGATTGTCTACAGTGGTGGAAGGGGACTTTGATGTGGCCCATGGCAGTCACTCCCTATATTTATGCATTTTGATGGCTTCTTGAGGATGATAGTTCATAATTGAGAATGTGTGCTAGGATTGGAATCCCAATCGCCAGCAGAAGTATGGCATTCCTGATAATGTTTCATATGCCACATGTATTGATGTTCTGGCAAATTTTGTTACTGTTTTTCTGGACAGTTTTCACCAGGGTGGAATCTTAGAGGCTCACGATTGCGTACTGAAACACTTAGGGAGCTTAAAACCCAGTGAGCACTGCCTGCACTCCCAGAGAACCTGGCTCATTTCATTTTGGTGCAGCCTGGACGCTGAGGCTTTTAAAAGCTCCCTAAGTGCTTAATGCATGCTCTAGCCGTAGTCCTGGTTCCAACACCAGACTGTAAGCCAGGTGAGCTGGATTGGTGCTGGCTTCCTGTGTGACAACTGTGTAGCCTTGAATATGCCATTTAATTTCTCTATACCAGTATTCTCTTTATGTGTAGAATGGGGACAATGACTTCCATCCTTTGTAAGCCCTGGGGTGATGTATGACAGAAGGAACATGGGTAAACCTTAAGAAAGAATCCTATTTACTACATAATAAATGTAATAGGTCAGTGAGAAAGCAATTGTGTCAGTTTTTGCAGTGTTGAAATTTGCAGTGTTGAAAATTGGAATGCTTTCTTCAATAAATACAGTCGAGTCATACATCTTTTTAATGTGTATCTCTATCCCTTTATGACTCCAGCTAATGGCTTGCTGCTTGTTTTATATCTATTTTATACTATAGAAATTACGTTAGATAAAAAGCAGATTCAAGCTATATTCTTATTTGAGTTGAAAATGGATCATAAAGCAGCAGTGGAACCTGCAACATCAAAACACATTTGGCTCAGGCGCAGTGCATGGGGAATCAAACGGTTTTGCATAGTGGGTAGAAGCTTCATCATCAGGAGTCCCACCATTAGGCATTCACAATGACTGCGCGAAAGCATGCATCAAATCTGCTCCTTTCACACTATAGGAGTAGTTGACAAAGATCTCAGAGGTGACCCTTTGAAGCAAACTGAAAGGCCCAAAGACTCAATGAGCTGGTGGGGAAAATGTCACTCTCTCTTAATTCTATTTACTAATGAATGGTTTCTTGATGAGATTGTGGTGTGTGTCAAAAAGTAGATTGCATGTAGCAGGAAGTACTAAAGCATTCCCCAGTGCCAAACTTGATTAAATAGTCGCAGTCACAGTTGGGTCATATGCTGCAGGACTGATCCATGACAGCTTTCTGAATCCCAGGGGAGCCACATCTGAGAAATATGATCAGGAAATTGATGGGATGCACCCATAACTGCAACAGTGGCGGTGGTGTTAGTCCATGAATGGGTCCAATTCTTCTCCATGATTCCCACAATGCCTAACTGCATGCAGCACAATCACTGCTTCAGAGCATGGAAATATTGGCTACACAGTTAGTTCTGCCTCATTCACTCTATTTCCCTGATTTCTGCCAACAAATTACAACCTCTTCAAGAGTACCCATTGCTGTTTGTGGGGAAAACCTTCCACAAAACACAAATTTCATGTTACGGGGATAAATAAACTTATTTTTATCAACAAAAATGTATAATTGTTCCTAGTTTTATTAAGATGTAGCTGGGTTTAGGTGTAATAATAAAAGTTTACAATATGCAACCACTATTCTTTTTGCATCAACTTAATTGTAAACTGGTTAAGAACCGAGGGCCCAGTGTTGTGACTATGAAATTAAGATTAAATGAACCTTTCCCTAGTTCCTTTACTTTGGATGGATTGCTTATCCATTTTTCAGTGATGGATGGTGGAACTAGGAAGCCTCTTAGCCTCTGTAGATATGTGGACTCCAAGACAGTAATAGGTAACACCAGGAGCCAATGGAGCCTGCAGAATATCATATCCCTTTCTATACCCACTGACTGGTTCAAACTTTACGTTTTAGTAAGCTTCCCAGGTAATGTTTTATGTATACTAAAGTTAAGAAGGTCTGGGCTGGGGATCATGGGGCATTGGAGACAGCACTTCTGGCTTCTGGTTACTGGATAATCCTAAACTAGGATTAGCTCACCCACACTCTTGAATCTGTGGTACTGTCTCCTGTACTCCTCTGCATTGCATACTTTGCCACTTCTAACTTTGTCTTTAACTTTTTCCTTTAAGTCTTTAAGTATTCATATAGGTGTCTGTGAGGACAGTATAGCATATCTGATCAAATGGACTTGAGTCCACATCTTATATTCCCTCCTAGAACCTGATGGGTATGGATGCTTAAGGAAATGACTTAACTGCTTTATCCTGTAAAATAGACTCTTGAGGAGTTTTCCTTTTCAGTGGGCTTCTGGGTCACTGAAGAAACCCTGCGTTGTGTGGGCTTGAGGAAGCTCTAATTATGTCAAGTCCTTAGGGTGTGTTTTACTGGCAGGAGTCTGCTAGGTCAAAGACCAAAGCTGCAGACCTATGGAAGTTGGCACACCTTCTTCCTAGGTAAGGCTCAGAGGGATGGCGTAGCATTCCTCAGGTCCATGCGCAGATGATAGTAGTGTGTACAGAAAAGGTCCATCATAGCTTTCTCTCCTGGATATGCACACATGCAGATTGCTCCCTTCCAGACACAGTAACTCCAGAGCTTATCTATACCTGCTTCTCTGATTCATTTGTATACTATAAACCCTTCCTCCTTGAACAGCTGTATACAGTAAACGCACCAATCTTTCTGCATGCTGCAGTTTCTCCGACAGAGAGCCATTCCTATTTGCTCCCAACTTTTCTTTGTGTCTCTGTTTTTGTATTTTCTTTATTCCCTAGCTGTCCTAGTTAGGTCAATCCCTGGAGCCAAGCATTTTGAATAGCAATGCATACCAAGCACTTGTACTTGGCTGTGATGGAGTTGATCATTGTGCTGCGCTAGCTAGCTCTTAGTACAGGCATGATGTCACATGTTTCAAGTGACCTGACTGCTCAGATACTCCGTTAGTGTCTTCACTTAGAATGTGGACAAAGGGTACTTTTATATTCATGTGCAAATTGAGTTTTAGGACAACAAAAGTATAATTAAAGGTTGATTTACCTTTCTGAGACAAAATGGGCTGCAAAGATGAAACACCTTCCTACTTCCTCTCATGGGAAGAGCTAGCCTACAGCTCTGCCTCCAAGAACAATTCTGGAAATAAGGAAGTCAGACCCTGATTTCTCTTCTTCCAGTCAACTCTGGCACAAACCATATTACCTGGTGTTGCTTCAGGTCCAGGGCTCCTCTAACTTCTAGTCTATAGAGAAAAACAGACATGAAAAATGATTATCAAAATCTCAGTGCCTAGAATAGGGAAGTGAAATAGTTTTAATGGCTTTGGAGTCACCTATGGGGGCCACAGGCAGGCAATTACAGAAATTCACCATAACCTCCTCATACCTGCCCACAGTACCCTGCAGCAAGACATTTTGATAAATTCCTACTGTGGTCTGTAGCAGTAGATGGTTACCTATCATAAAGGTTAAGTAGTTCTTTGTTTAGCAATTAGTTGATTAGGTGCTATAGCTCATTTTCTAAATCTTCACAGCTCCATGTCTGTGACTATTTTATTATATTGTGAATATCTGTCTTCAAATGGATTCTTCTCCATATTACACATTTTTCCAAGATGAGACTGTACCACTATTTTCATTTTTTCATATTTGTGACCTTGTACAAGGTCTAGAATTTTGTTTTAAATGTCTTATGCCCATTCAATACATGAAGAAAATTTGGACCAGAGATGTATACCATAACTTTTTCAATTTAAAATCACAAGCATTTCCATTGAGCTCATGGTAATTCCAATGCCGGTTCTCCAAAACAAAAACTAATTGAGTACATATATTTGTGGATAGGACTATGTCTTTTCCTTGAGCTCTGGCATCTACATTTTAGTGAAGGAGTCAATGATTTTCAAAGTAGAAGAAAGTCCTAGACTTATAGGTACCTTCTATCCACTTGTAAAATTTCTATAATGTTACTTTTATTTGGTGAAAATTCTTGATTTTCTTCTTAAAATTAAAGCCCTTCTTTCTGTCATTGATATGCAAGAAGTGTTAGTCCTACTGACAAATGTGTGGTGGTCAAAGAATATAGCATGCTCTCTATTCCATTTCTTTATCTCGATTCTTTTTGCATATTCTTAGTCAAGTTACAGGATTCTTTTTCTCAACCTGTGTCTGTGAGTTTCAATGACAGGCTTCTGGAGAGGAATCTGTTCTTCAAGGCCTTCTAAGAGCACCTCAGCCACCAACAATTGCAAAGTGCATTCAGTCTGAAAAAGAGCAAGATCATTGTGATGTGCTTAATTTAAAATACCTTAGCAACTTTTCCCCTTTGCATTTCATTCAGGTTGTTCTGAGAAGCATTGGAGAAATATACAAGATCAGGATAGGACACGACGGAAATAGTGGGCAGCCAGAGTGGAGCTTGCAGAGGGTAAGCTTGACTTCCTTTGTGCTGCATGCTTCATGATGATGAAAAGAGTAAGCTGGCCACACAGAGTGGGAAATGAAAAATATTTTACAAATTGTCCTAAGTAATGTAAGCAAAAAACTGTGGATACAATACTCTAAAGTGCTTCACTATTGTGAAATATATTTTAACAACAGCATTTTATAATGATATGTGTAAAGGAAACTTTTAATGCGTGAAAACTTGAAGAATATAACAAAGTGTGAGAAGCAAAGGGCATTTTAATTCTGTGGTCTTTATCATCACCTAAGTAGTTCATGATCTTTGCAACATTTTCCGTGAATTCCTTCCATGTGTACTTGTATCTTCATTCTCTTTCTAAATATATATGTATATATACTCCACTTGCCTATAAAGTATTACTATGTACTTATTAGTATGAATAAATTTATATTGAAATGTGCATCTTTTATGTTTTAATTAAATCAAATAATATATACATATATATGTACTTGGATATCCTATTTATTTATTTCTTTATATGTTTGCAATTAATCATGTCAAAAATATCTGCTAATACTTGTCAAATGCCAGCTGTTTTATCAGTGCTGTTGTATGTTTTCTTAACAGCAACTCTTAGTTTGTCTACAATTGTTGTTCCTACTTTATAGATGAGAAAACTGAGGCTCAGTGAAGTCAAATAATTTTGCTGTAGTCATTTAGTAAATGGTTGTCTTGTACATTAATTTCTAGACAATCTTAAGCATTGCCATTCAGCCATAGTTTTCAAAAATAGTAATTAAACCTTTAGTGGTTCTTAAATTTCTAAATGGAAACAGTAAAGTATACTGGAGTGAATGATATAGCTGAGTTATAGAATGTCTGCTTTAAAATCTACATCTGTCATTGATTTTTTACAGTGTGTGATATGTAAAATATCTGAGGTTTGAGATTTGAATAACACTGGTAAAATATCTTAGTGGGAAGTTTTGTTGGAGAAAAGGGAAGTGAGTGCAGAAAGGGAAGGGAGAGGGGGAGAGAGAGACAGAGAGAGAGAGAGGGGAGGGGAGAGACAGCAAGCATTGGCAAAATTTGACAGAATATTTTTTCACTTTAAGTATTTCATAATCTTATCTGTGATCTTTGTTATTCTATCTTTGGTTTCATAATGAAGATAAATGAGAAAATGTTAAGTTTGCTGAGATATTTGATGAATTTTTGTATAAGTTGTTCTCAGAACTACTTGTGTGTATGTTCATGTGGTGTGTGTGTGTGTCATAGTATGTGAATATCAGAGGGCGATTTTGTGTTAGATCTCTCCTTTCACCTTTATGTAGTTTCAGGGATGAGATTCAGTCCCGTGGCTTGTGTAGAAGATTTTAACTTGTTGGACCATCTGTGTACCTATGAATCTTGCTTAGATCATACCCATACCCAACACAAAGAAGTGCAATTTTATAGCACAGTGACAAGTGAGTGCATTGCAGTTAGTGCAGAAGTTTGAGCAACTAAGAGAGCCCTGAACTGTGGTCAGTGGTATGGAGATTGGGCGGAAATCACAAGTAGTGAGATAGGAGTGAACTTCTAAGATACAAAACTCATGGAGCCTTCAAACTCACATCCCAAGCAGAACCTGTTGCAGGCAGAGCCACCAAGTTCTGGAAACCAAGAAAGGGACCATCCTTTCCCCTGATCAGTGGTAGAGACCTGTGTGAATAGTAGAGTAGAAGGACAGTAAATAACAGAGTCAGCAAATGAGTTCAGCACCTACAACTGTAACTAAACACCAAAGTGGTGTGGAGGAAGGGTTATCTGTATACGCTTTCTTTTCAGGGAGTTTCAAGTTTATAAAAATTGCAGTGGTGAAAGTAGTCTTCACTTGATAATCTGGTACCCATCTGCTTCTCATTCTCTGTTATGACATGTGTGTTTTGTCATTTATGGGATGTTTTAGACCTGTGGCACTTAAGTCATGTAAATACCTAACTCATCATAAAACTCCCACCCACTATGTGTGGGAGCCACTGGTGATTCCAGCTTGAATCAGCCATCACTGCGTTAGTTGCCAAGTAGTGACTTTCTGGCTACATTTTTGCTTACACATGTCCTGTCAGTCTTCTTTGAAACAGAGCTTTCTCCTTTCCTTGATTAAAGGTTTCATTCGTTTATGGAGCCAGCTTTCCATATCTGTGGACTGTCTCTGCACATTCAACCAACTACATATGGAAGACATTTTGTGAAAAAAAAGTGTAAAATTCCAGACTTCTGAGGCAGTTATTCCTGAAATTGTCTAACAACTAGCTATTTATGAAGAGTATAAGGGCTCTACACAAAACAATGATATTTATTATATGAACTTAAGCATTCATTAATGTTGATGTCCATGGAGCCCTAGAACCAATCTCTGTCATGGGTGATTACACTAGAAAATCTTATTTTAGTATGTTTGTTCTGTTCTGGTTTTGATGCTAAAATTATCCTTGACCCTTTAAGCTTCTATATCCTTTTGAAATGCTGCTATTCCGTTGAAAAGAACTTCTTTACTTTCTCACTTAACAATATGTTTCAGACTTATTTGGTGCTTTCTTTATATCAAGGCTTAGAATCAGCTATATTTTCCAACAACACTAGCAGAGAAGGGTGTTAAGATTGAACAGTATTTATATGAGAGAATCTGAGAAGTTATTTTCCACTAATGCCTATGCTCGGAGGACACTTCCCTGGTAGGAGAGCCTGGATGTGCTTTCATAAGATGCTCCATAGTAAATGTTTCCATGGTGAAATGTGATAGCATATAGCTTTTTATTCCTAGCTTGAGTGGAGCAAGGTACATAGTAACATAATAGAGGCTCTGTGTTGCCTGATGGCAAAGAAATCTGTTTACCAGTACTTTTAAAACTGTATTTGTCATTGACAAAATGTTTCTGAAAAGAATCTATTAGCATGATTGGGTGTTGGTGGCACACATCTTTGATCACAGCACTCAGGATGCAGAAGCAAGTGAATCTCTAAGTTCAAGATCAGCCTGGTCCACAGAGCAAGTTCCAGGACAGCCAGGGTTACACAGAAAATCCATATCTCTAAAAACAAAATGAAACAAAACAAAACGAACAGTAACCCCCCAAATCAATCAGCATCATATGAAATTTATATTGTCCATAATAGAGGAGGTTTAAGGCATATGGGACTTGCTTGGAAAACAGATGTAACCACTGGGCAGAGGCAGTAGCACACGCAGATTTGATTGGATGATACTTTGCTTTGAGGGTCCTTTCAGCAAGTCATGTCTATAGCATTGTCAAAGACTTCTCAGGAGGGAAAGAGAGTAGGGGCTTTCTTTTTTTTTGTATTTTCTTTTTTATCCTTTTTTAAAATTTAAGTTAGAAACAAGCTTGTTTCACTTGTCAATCACAGCTCCCTTTCCCTCCCCACTTCTCCCGCCCTCACCACCAGGTCCCCCAGTCCCCCACCCAATTTCCACTCTGATTCCCCATGGTGGGTGAGGCCCTCCATGGTAGATCTCTAGTGACTGTCATTTGTTACTTTTCCCTTTTCATTTCTGATTTTGTTAATGTGCATGTTCACAGTCTGTTGTTTGGTAAGTTTGGATAAAGGTTTGTCTATCTTGTTGATTTTCTCAAAGAACCAACTCTTCGTTACATTGATTCTTTGTATTGTTTTCTGCTGTATTGATTTCAGCCCTCAGTTTGATTTTTTCCAGGCTTCTACTCCTCCGGGTGAGTTTGCTTCTGTTAATTCTCTAGTGTAACTATTCTCCAGTTTCTTCATGTGGGCACTTAGTGCTATGAACTTCCCTTATAGCATTGCTTTCAAGGTGTCCCATAAGTTTGGGTATGTTGTGTCTTCATTCTCACTGAATTCTAGGAAGTCTTTAATTTCTTTTTTTTAAAATTTCTTCTTTGATCCAGGCATGGTGCAATATCGCATTATTCAATTTCCATGAGTTTGTAGGGATTTTGCAATTTGTGTTGTTGTTGAATTCTAATTTTAACGTATGATGGTCTGATAAGATGCATGAAGTTATTTCATTTTTTTTTTGTTCCTGTTGAGTTTTGATATGTTGCCAGGTATGTGATCAATTTTTGAGAAGATTATATGTGGTGCTGAGAAGAAGATATATTCTTTTCTATTTGGATGGAATGTTCTATAGATGTCTGTTAATCCAAATTTTGTCATAACTTCTATTAGTTCCTTTGCTTCTTTGTTGAGTTTCTGTCTGGTATTCCTGTCTTGTGGTGATAGTGGTGTGTTGAAATCTCCCACTACAAGTGTATGGGGCTTTATATGTGCTTTGAGTTTTAGTAATGTTTCTTTTACGAACATGGATGTCTTTGTATTTGGGGCATAAATGTTCAGAATCGAAACTTCATCTTGGATTTCTCCTGTGATGAATATGAAATGACCTCCTTCATCTCTTTTGATTGATTTTATTTTAAAGTCTAATTTGGTTGGTATTAAGATTGCTACCCCTGCTTGTTTCTTGGGTCAATTTGATTGGAAAACCTTTTCCCAACCCTTAACTTTGAGGTAATGTCTGTGTTTGAGGCTGAGGCGTGTTTCTTGTATGCAGCAGAAGGATGGGTTCTGTCTTAGAATCCGTTCTGGTAGCCTGTGTCTTTTTATGGGCGAATTATTACCATTAATATTGAGGGATATTAATGACCATTGATTGCTCATTTTTGTTTGTTTTGGAATGGTTGATGGTGGTGGAATTATATGTGGATTTCTGCCTCTTTTGTCTTTTGGCTGTTGGTAAGGTGGAATTATCTATTGCCTATATCTTTCTGGTTGTAATTAACTTCCTTGGATTGGAGTTTTCCTTCCAGAACTTTCTGAAGGTCTGGGTTAGTGGATACATATTTTTCTCCTCAATATATGTTTTTATTTAAATTAGAAAAGTGAATGTTTCACATGTCAGTTCCAGCTCCCTCTTCCACCCCTTCTCCCCTGTCCCTCCACCAGCCTCCCAGCCCCCCACCCAATCCCCACATTATTCCCCAGGG